ATCTTTCTTCTATCATTGACAGTCCCTCTAGGTTGTGGGCTGCTTGCCTGTGTTCCTGAGAAGCATCTACGGTACCAGTCTATAGAGTGTGTTTTCTTTAGTGAATTACCGGTATGTTTACCGGTAATAAACTTGCACTGTTTTATGTATATGTTTGATTACATACAGCCTTGTGACAGTTTTCCTGCATGTCATAAGCATTTGAATATAAATTAAAATGTTAAAATCAAATCTGATATTGTTTTACCTTTTATTTGGTGTGTGGAAGGTGTGCGGAAGAGGGGGTAGTCTTATACGGCGAGTATATAACAAACTCTATTTTGAGTGGAAATGTTAGGGGGTCGTCTTATACGCCCAGTCGTCTTATACGCCGGCAAATACGGTATATAACAAATGGGATTAGTAATCAATCTACCCTGTAAACAATGATTATACTCCCATTAGTGTATACCTTGTAGGGTGAAACTTCACAAGTGTTAGTTAATTTTTTTTATATTGCACATGGACATTTGAGATGAGAAACATCAGGCTTTTTTTTTTTTAGCAATTTCTAAAAGCATTCGCTGCTGTAAAATAAGAATATTGGAATAGATGCACTCTGACATTTTGCAATTTTAAATACTATTTCATTTCTGACATGAAAAGATCTTAGGTTTAATTAACATTTCAATAGCAATTCAAATTCTTAAAAAAGAATCTGTTCCCTTATAAAAATATCTCTGTAATTCTGAAACTATCTTTTTCTTTTTTTCTGAAGCACAGCCCTTCTTATAGATTCCATGTCAATGTAATTTCTCAAGTCAAGAAAAACGGAAATGTGTTTTCCTGGGCCAATATTAAGTATTCTATTTATCCTCTATAGACGGGGAGTGGTAATATTTACCATGATATATCTGATTTCCACTGTTCAGAGAAGAGTTTGGCCCTAGTTTCAATACACAAAATAGCACTTTATTTGTAAAGCTTTATTTGCTCATCCTCTTTCTTATTTTAAATACACCATAAAAAATGGCACATTCAGAATCATAGAGTCATATTCCAGCTCAGCCTCTATAATGATGCACAACACAGAACACGCTGAGGGCTTAGCAGATCTCTTTGTAAGAGAGTAAATACACAAAACCAGCAGTCAGTTTGTTTAACCTGGCGGTATTATTTTCCTAATAAATACAGAGTGGTCTTATTATGTCTGAAAAGGATTGCTGCTATGGATACTCTACTGTGTGGTACCAGAGAAACAATGAATAAATAGCTCATTTGTCAGATTACTGAAATCTGCAAAATATTTAAGGAGAGTGACTACTTTTGAAAATCTGCCCATTCAAACAAATGAGGGAGCAAGCTAAGCTGCAGTCCTTCTCAGAAATCATAATAATGGTCTCTACTGTCTTTGCATATTTGTTCCTTTGGGTCTAGAGACAGTGAATTTTACTGCAATCTAATTTTCTAGCTCTTGATAATGTTTATATAAGCAAAAGTAAATATGTAATTGTATAATTTCATTTCTAAAATGTGGTTATATACTGATTTGCAATATCTGAAACAATAATCAAATGACTTTGTATATACCCACTATAATCCAAAAGTATTCAAAAGTTTTAAAAATATGTATTTAATATGGAAAAAAACTGAGTTAAAGGAAAAGTAAGGGCGGGAGAGTAAATTCAAATCTGTAATATTTATAAACAAAGTTATATTCCATGAAGTTGTGTATGATTGGCAGGGGAGGACCTCTCAGGATGCTAAGCTTTCCAGTAGCCAAAGGAAAAAGGGAGACACAAGAGATCCCTCAATTCATAATGTCTACAACCAAATTACTCTTGGAACTCAGAAGGAAATTCACCCTTGGGAGTCTATGGAGCAGAAATGCAATGCTTATGTAATGAACTCCCTGAACATTTCTTAGGGAAACACAGAGATGCTGTTTCATGGGCTGCTACTCATGAGTCACCCCAAAGAGCAGTTTGGTGGAATCATTCTATGGGGAGGTCAATTAAATCCAGGTAATCAGCTCTCTGACTTCATTTGGGATTTAGATTTTATTTCAGTAAAATTGGTAGGATAAGTGCTCTTTAGACAAATCATAAAAACTGGTTTCCTTCTGAACTATTTAAGGACTAGAGGCCCGGAGCACACAATTCATGCATGGGAAGGGGGCCCTCAGCCTGGCCTGCACTCTCTCGCAACCCGGGACCCCTCAAGGACTGTCCTACTGCCAGTTTGGGCCCGATCCAGTAGGGCATTCTTCTCGTAATACGGGACTGCTGGCTTCTAATCACTGGCCTGCCTGCCTGTCTCATGGCCTCTAACCACTTTGCCTGCCTGCCTCATTGCCCCAACCACTCGCCTGCCTGTCTCATCGCCCCTAACTGCTCACCTGCCTGCCTGTGATCACCCCCTAATCACTCCCCTGACAGCCTGATCGACGCCTAACTTCTCCCCTGCCAACCCGATTGCCCCTAACTTTTGCCTGCCTGCCTGATCGCCCCTAACCACTCGCCTGCCTGCCTGATCGCCCCTAACCACTCTGCCTGCATGCCTGATCGTCCCTAACTGCCTCTGCCTCAGCCCCCGCTGCCGTGGCTTCTTCCGGAAGGACATCTGAAAGGTTGTTCGGCTGTCCGGTCCAATGAGCATATTACGCTTTTATTATTATAGATAATAAAAAGCAATAAGGATTCATTTATTCCCTCCTGACCTGTTCCTGAAATGCAGTTTTGTTGTTATTTTCTTATTTAAACCTGTTAAGGATAAGGCTGCACTGAGGACAAGAGAGGTGAGCCTTATGAAAATTAGGATGCTTAATAAGGACACATGTGTGAAGCCGTCCAATTTTAGCTGGAAAGTGCGGTACGAGAAGTTGCACATGCAGGAGGGCAGAGAGTAGATTCACAAACTCAATGTAAATTTGTCTAATAGGTAGCTCCGTGGGCAGTCAAGGCTACAATTCCACACTATAGTCACACCCATCATAATTTTAACCTGGGAAAAAATATCAATACTTATTTATTTGCATTTTGCAAAGAACTCATCAAATAAAATAAATGCTAACTATGAGCATAACCAATGTACACAGACTGGGGCAGGGGGAAGGAGGGATGTGCTGGGTGGTAGGGACGGCTGGGGAGAGGTCAATGGGGGGAAAAGGAGACTTAATGTAACACTTTTAACAATAAAGACTTAAAAAAACACACAAGAAAAAACAAGACCCATGTGGGCTCTCTACAAGAGACCCACCTCAGAGGGAAAGACACACATAGACTAGTAAAGGAATGGAAAAAGGTATTTCATGCAAATGGAAATGAAAAAAAAAAATCTGGGGCATCAGACAAAATAGATTTTAAGAAGTATGGAGTTTCAGGTTTAGAAAATGAGAAAAGTTCTAGAGATGAAGAGTGGTGATGGTTGCAAAAAATGTAAATGTTCTTAATGATAGTGAACTGTACACTTAAAAATTGGTTAAAATTGTAAAGTTCATGTTATGTATGTTTTTCTACAACTAAAAAAAGCTAAATTAAAAAACAAAAAAAAACATGCTAAAACTCTAAGGATACTATTTGGTGAAGGGAAAGTTAATTTAGTGAATGACATACAAGCACGATTGTTTATTACATCATTTCACAGCTCTGACAAATTATGTAATACACAAAGTATAGGTATATATGTGGTGCAAACATTATGAGAGGTTCATTTCCAGCAGAATGGCTGACTAAGAACCTAGGCCAATATTCTTCCTGAAAACAATTAAATTTGCTAGGTAAACTGTGAAAACAAACAACTACCACAGAACTTCATAAAAGCATCAGTGAGGAACATTCAAGTAAAAACTAGAATGATGTCTGAAACCCAGAGCAGGATATGGAACAATGAAGGCAGCTTTTTCCCTGAGAGAATTTGCTAAATATAGAGAATCTAAGCTTCTATATTTTTAACCTCAAGGAGATCAGGAGCCAGTAAAATAAGAAAAATTCAATATTTATATTTATTTATAATTTTATTATATTTTTCAGTAAACTGAAATATCTAATCAAAAGTATCAAGTCAAATACAGTAAATTGCACAAGTTAAATAGTTGAGAAAATCAAAAGTTAATGTCTATAAACTTTATTTTTAAATCACAAAAGGAATAATAACAAAAGAAATAAAATAAATGTATTTATTTTACATTTATTCATTTCCACTCTTTAAATGGCAACCATGGTCAACAGTTTGATGTGTATAGTTCAAGATTTTTCTGTGTGTCATCATTCAATTCCACCAGGAAGGGGTGAGTTGTAAGGAGGAAGTAGCAGGAAGAAAGT